ATGAAATGTAATTTTTTCAATTAATGTCTAGGGCCTACAGATAGCTTAATCCAGCGCTGACTCCTAATGTATAATGTAAGACGAGACAATTAATTTCAACGGCTTCTGATATTTGGTTGTAAATCTTTTAAGTCAAATACTTCCCACGGCTGGCCTCTAAAAGAATTGTTAGACGACGAGTCTCGTTTTATGCCCTTTTCCTATTACGGGCCACTGTTTTAGTCTAAAAGAAGTAAATTCGTTATTACATTACTAAATATGAAAATTGAATATAGAGGGGCACGTAAAATATTAGAAAATATTTTGTTGGAACCGTATTATGTCGGAAAAATATTTTGTAGGAACCGTATTATGTCCAAAAAAAAATTCATCGAAAAGTATTTTGTCGGAAAATAATTTTTACCCAATGACGATAACATGCAGTCACGGAGTGCTTATGAAGAAGTTATATTAAACAGTCCTGACAAAATTCTTTCCGATGAATTATTTTACCAACAAAATATTTTCCGGCGTTTTTTCCTTTCAGAAGATAAGCTACACTCGATATATCGGAACGAGATTTTTAGTATAAAAGTTTGTAAAACAAATCGAGAGATATTTTTCAATTGAAATAGTCTAAGGGAGCGATGGCTTGGGTCTCTAAGTACACCCAAAATGCATTTGTTTTTTTTATATGTTTAGGTAAAAGGGAAGAAAAATGCAAAACATTTTTTTTTTTTGAAACACGAGTTCGAATTCGTTAACCCTAAGACAACAGTTATATATAACCATTCAGCAACGAGAAATTTATATTGAAGACAATATTTAGTTATTTAATAAAACATATAATATATGCATAATATAAGAACTTCAAAACGCTATAATTTTGAAATTTAATCAGTCAGTTGATTCGATCGTGTTTGGATTATAATTTTACTCTTTGGTCTCCTTAACAATCAGGTTAAACTTAAGAAATAAAAGCTATTTAAAATAGATTTTAATGATTTCTGAATTCACCGTATGCACAATTACTTAATTTTAGATTTGGAGCGGAGCGAGACTTATTAGTTTTCCAAGGGGTTTTCAAAATAATTTGGAAATACTGAAAAAACGTACAGGAAAAATGGACAAATATTTCTGGGTTACCACTTCATTACCGATTTTATTGTTTTTAATTTTTACGCACTATATTTTCTACCAGAAATATTAAAGTCACAAAATACCTATTTTGTTGCATTTCAGATTTAGTTTCTAGATAAGAAAATCATTTTTTGATTTTCCAAGTAGTTTCCATAATAATTAGGTAAACCCGGAAAAAGGAGTAAAATGTACAGCATACAAACTCATTATTATTTTAAATTTTTACGAATTATGTTTTCTGCTAGTAATATTTCTCCACCTGGAAGTTGATAGGAGACAACCAACAATGTCCAATATAACGATTAATCGTATTATGAATCTGGTTAATATGTCCTATGTACATTTATTTGTGAATATTAGAAATATGTCAATTTATTTAGATCATTAAATGATAGTATACTATTGTTATTAGATTTTACGTTTAGAAATAAATTATAATAAAAAAGGTATATTTAACTACATTTAATAAACGATAACACACTTACTCGGCCTAACTTATTTTTAAACATAGTTTTTATGTGATCATTTTCGAATTGTTTTATAAAATGGTTGACGGTTACTTGGATGACACAAGTGGCCAGAGTAATGAAACCGATGAATCTGAACGCCATCGTGCTGCCTAGATGACTAAATGTGTAACCGGCTATCGTCGAGCCCAGCGGTTCAAGTGCAATCCAAACGGCTCCCGTCGAAAGTTTCCATAAATATATAAATTCCCTAACTGCTCCGACATTCGACTACGAACAAAAGATGGCGTATTACTACGTATATTTCTCGTAAAATTATTTTGTATCGTTGACGGTGACCGTGTGATGCTGCATGATGTTACTCAGACAATGTTTGCTTCTCGTATACCCAAGATATATTATATCACAGTAAATTTAATAGTGAATTTAATAATGTTCATCCTAAAATTTTCAAGTCTATTGCGACCTACTGCGACGATCGAAAGGCTATTAGGACGCAAATTTAAGTTATCAGTCATGGAATAATACTCCTAGTAGCTAGTTAAAAAAAAAAAAAAAAATAGGAGTTCGTAGGGGTCATAATTGGGGATTTTTCATTTAATAAAAAAAAAATTGTGCCTCAAAAATTAACCTTTAGCCTGAATTTCAACAACGAAAATATATATTCTTTATTTTAATCGAACTATCGATATATTTTTATTTTCTGATTTACAATATACTTTTCCAAAAATATAACCTACGTATTTTTAACCATACTTCTTTTGAGACGGTCCTAAGTCTGTATGAAGTTGGAAGAAATTTGTGTTGTCAAAAACGAGTCGTCTGACGTATTTGTACAACAAGAGCTGTTCAAAAATTGACCTATTTGTAAAATGTGGGTCTTTTCGAGAAAATCGGTAACCAAATAGGCTATAGCAAAAATATTATGTATGTACATAACTGTCATTACGTAACACCTTGCTATTTTAATTGAAGTTGTAAATTAAGTTTTGCATGATATTAGTATGAAATATGTATCGAATTTCTATGAAAATGTGTGTGTTGGAAATCTGCAGGTGGGCAGTAAATACCTAACAAATATTTGATCACCATGGAAAATTATGCCTATGAATATTTACTATTTTCGTAGATTAATATTGAAAAAGTTAAAACGATAGCTAAGAAATAATAATATATTTTTGCGTTTCATAAATAGAAACAATTGTTAATTTCAGCATACTGTTTATCTATTATTAGCTATAAGGTACTAGGGTAGAGGAATTGTAGTTCTAAAAAAGCACTAAATATGCAAGCACTTATGCACACAAAAACTCTATAATATACACTAAAAATATGCTCAATTTTTATTTTTAAAGACCCTGAAAAATAAAATTCTTAGAACTTTAGTTAAAATTATTAAAACATGTAGATAATTAAGTCAATCAAATTTTTACCTTAAAAGTTGCATTTAATAGCTAAATTTTTTTTTAAATTGTCGAACTGAAAAGATCGTCATTGTCAGCCAACAATACTTTGAACATCGAAAAGGATCGTTCTACATAGACGGAATTAACTGAGGTGTATTTATAATAGACCAAATTATTTATTGTTAAGAGGACGCCATACTGACATTTACGGTCCCAGTCTTATAAACGCGAGATATAGCAAATTTGCGTTCAGCAGGACACATTTTGTGCGATTAGTTTTAATATTAAGCAAATTGACTCGTAGTTGATGTTTTTTCGATATTTTAATTTTTAAGAAAGATTTAATTATTTTTAAATTACGGTATTTAACATGCTCATTTAAAAATATCGAAAATCATCAACACTAGGGCATAAATGATTGTCTTACCTTTAATTTTGGTAATATGTCAATTTGCTTTAATATTAAAACTAACGGCACAAAACGTGTCCTACTGAACGCAAATTTGCTGTCTCGCGTTTGTAAGACAGAGACAGCAGATGTTGATGTGGCGTCCTCATAAGTTTTCAGATTAAAATTTTATCATAACGTAGTTTACTGTTCATAAATAAAATTAATCTGATTGGGAACCTTAGAGACATGTTTCAAGAAAAAACTACATTATATGGTTATAAAATAACCATAACAAAATGATTGGTTATTATTATTATAGCTAATTGACTGTATACTATTTTTTTAGAACTTAAAAAAGTTGATGCGTTAAAATTTTCAGAAGACAAACTCTATAAAATGACTCTCTCGGCTATCATCAAATTTTTTTATTACAAAACATTAAATTGAAATATAATTATTAGTAGTCGTTATCCCTGTAAATAATATATAAAAAAATAACAACACAATAGTTATATCTTCGTGGGACACTGTATACAGTAATTTACCTCAAAAAATTGTTATGTACAATTTTCTTTATTTATAAAACTTTTGGCAATATTAAATTAATAGTGCGTTAGTGATAATTCAAAGAGTGACAATTAAAAAGGCAGTATCCACTTATGCTAAATCTGAGAAAATAGGTTTGAGTGATGCATGCATTTTTTTTTTATGAAATCATAATAATTTCACAAATAGTAGTAGTAGATGTTGAATTTATATTTAACAATGTTTAAATAGCATTTCTATCATTTATTAATTATACATGTACTGTATTATTTACTATTAAGTTCTTGAGTGCACAGGACAACTGATTAAATATGATGTGGTCTCTTATCACTTTATGCTCTGATAGTTACCATTATCAGTTATCAATACAACATCTCCCTTTTCAGGATTACAATTTTACAATAGACATAATTTTTAAATTAATTATTAACCTAATATGTAATACAAAAATAAAACAACATATTCAACTTAAATTTAACAATGATTAAATACAATTTAAACAAAATACTTAGGAATTAAATATACTAATACTAATAATAATTCATACAATTCTATAAATTAAGTCTATTTGGTTTCTTAATTAGTTGCTCTTGTTCTATTATGATTTACTTATACTTTTTTGTCATTACCAGTGCTTTCACTTTCTTAATACTGTCATCATTATATTCTTTTGTATTATCATCTTTATATAGATATCATCATCATCAATGAGACTTTCCTCAATTTTTTATATAATTAATATTTCTTCTCAACACTTTTGCTCTTACATTTTTCACATAGTATGACCAAGGCTAATTTCTTTTCTTTCTCCTTTCTCTCCTCTCATTCCTTTTAAAAATAATAATATATATAGACTTCCTCACCATCTACAAATTGTTTCTCCTCCTGTCCTGCAGTTTTATCATACCACTGTTTTTGCACGTCTTCAGTAAAATTAATTACTTTTGGCCCAAAAATATTAGAGTTTAAAAAATCGGTTGGTGTTTTTACCTTCCTTGAAATCTGTGCTGGTGAGTACTCTAAACCGGACTATTCCTATAATTGAGCAAAAACAAATTAAGATCTTTTTTCTCATATATAGCTTTGATAACCATTCTTTTTGCTATCCCAACCGTTTTCTGCTAACCCATTACTTTTTGCATAGTACAGGTTAGATGATATTATTTCAAATTGCCACCGTTTGGAAAAAATGTCTTGTGAGCCACACATTAAATCATTTTTGATATTATCAGCTTTTTTAAACTCAGCCTCTTTATTATTTCTAAATCTTACTTTAATCTTCATTGTATGTACAATATCTTTAAGAGTATTATCCAAATTTTTAATTTCCTGTTTAAAATTTCTGCTAAGCAAATCTGCTAAATATAAATATTTATCAGGAAAATACTCTACATTTAAGTTATATATCATCAAAGATACCCTCATTTTTTTTAATTCTATTATTTAGCTTTTTATGCATTATAGGAATTAATGGTTTATGGTCTGATTGTACTGTCCATAAATAAGACTATGCAATTTTGTACATGAGAATTTAATCGCCAACATCACCTTTTCGATCTGTGTATATCTTTGTTCAATTGTATTTAAACATTTAGATGCATACCATACTGGTTTATTTTTTTGAAACAGACAACATCCGATAGCTTTTTGTGAAACATCACATTGGATTCTAAACTTATCTTTTACATCATAATTGGCTAAATGGGAACTTTAGATAAAATATTTTTTAATGTATAAAATGACCTTTCACAATTACTAATCCATTTCCATCTACTATCTTTCCATAACAAAACTCTCTTAGGTAGTTAACCATTCCTAACACTAATTGTAGCTCCTTTACATTAGTAAGAATTTTTAGCTCTAATATGCCTCCAACTCTACCTTCCTCCTCCAGTTCTACTACTTTTTCATCAAACTTAAAACCTAAATATTTTATCTCACCTTTTTGGTATAGAATTTTATTATGATTAAACTTTATATTTAGTAACTTAGCCCTATCCATAACTTTTTTAAGAGCCTTATGATGTTTTTCCTTTGTTTCCCCGTAAATTAATATATATTGTATATACACACACACATTTTGAATATCCCCAAAATATTTATTAGTTAATTTTTGGAATAATTCAGGTGTAATTGCTAAATGGCAGTCTATTAAAATTATATGTACCATAGGGTGTACTAAATGCACAGTATTTTTTTGAACAGTCTTAACTCACATTAATAAAACCAGTCATTCAGGTCAACTAATGTATAAACTTTTTTATTCAACAGTTTATTTTTTATTTCATCTAGAGTTGGTATCTCAACTCTTTCTCTAACAATGTTTTTATTAAATTTCTTAGGATCTAAACACATCCTAAGTGATTTATTGGATTTTTCTATTATTATTAAACTGTTTTGCCATTCACTTGGTTCCTTACATTTCTCAATTATTTTTTTTTGAACATAATATTCTTAAAAGTTCCTTTAGTTTTGCGATTAATTTTATAGGGATCCGTCTAAGGTTATTTATTATGGGTAAATTTCCTTGTTTTAAGTTTTATCTGGAAAACAACCAAAGTCTATAAATACATTTTTTATGTTTATTTATGATACCTTCTACGCTAATTTCTTCTTGTAATTTGATTAACTTATTAATATAGTTTATTAACTTGCAATCTTTATACCCCAATATTGGCTTTCCTTCATATTCAACTACTTCAAATATTGTATAAATTTGTGTAGACCGGTCTATAACTGTACCTTACCCAGTGACCTAATTGTTGCCTCTCCAAACGCCATGATTACTACTTCACTGCCTCAAATTTTGTGCTTTCAATTTTTTATAAAATTTATTTGGCATTGTGCTCCTTGTATCTATCTTTAATTGTATTTCTATATTAATATTTTTTACCTTTTCTAACCAAGTATTTTTTTTATGAACTATTTCATCTGAAGCTACATATTTAATTTCATTATCATTTTCGTATTCAATCACATCAATCTGTTTATTATTTTTACATATCTTACACTCTTTCCTATATGCTGGACATTCCCTAATTTTATGCTGCTTACTACAATAGTAAAAATTCCATTTGTTTTCTTCATTGTATCTTCAGTTGTATTTTTGACTTTGTCTTTCATCCTGCTGCTGCCCATTTCCTTGACTCCGTGTCGCATTTTAGTATCATTGCACTACTTTATATATCAATATAACAGTAGATAGTAGTTTAAATATAAAATACTAATAGTTAATCATCATCAGTTAACTCATCTTTTTTAATAATAATATTAACTATTAAAATATGATGGCCATGAAAAAAAAAAAATTTATTTTAAGTGTACAAATTTGTCAAACATAATAATGCATATTTGTACTTAATATACATCTGCACACACAAATCAGTGGAACATAAAATAAAGATACCTAGCTGATCTTACTATTTGTTGAAAAAAAACGCACGCATTTCCCCTGATTTGAGACTAAACTGCGACAGCATCGAGTCGCGATTTTGGTGAAACGCACTATAATAAGACTTCTAAAATAATAAATTTATAATATTAATTCCGATAAATCAATGATATATTTAACCAAACTTAGGAATAATTTGAAATCTGTAGATTTGTTAATCTAGGATAATTAGATAAACACACAGTATATATAGGTAAACTATAATAAATTTACTAAAAATTTTATATACAGTAACTACATATCATATACTGAGTGTTATTGAATATTTCATTTACATTTCATCTATTGGTAAGAACAACATAATTTTCAAAGCACATTTCAAGGGTTTACCTAAATTTAGGGTTTTCATCTAATTACACCAATGTAAAATGGCCCAATAAACAATATTCTGCAATAACATGATTGCCACAATTTTCAAGTTGACGAATTCCCTGACTTTTCCAAGTTTTCCAAGATATATTTTTTTAATTTTCATACCCTTTAAAAAGAAGTCACAATATTATTTAAAATTTAAAAAAAAAATTGTTGGCTCAAGAAAAATACTATAAAAAGACTACCACATATTAAAGCGGGTTCCCAGTGCGTGTGGCTCGGCAAGCTTCGCGCTTATATCAAGCTCGGTATTATGCTCGGAATAACAAAAGTTACAAATGGCTACATCATTCCCACGATGCATGACTTGGCAAGCCACGAGCTTATCCAAGCCAATCCGAGCTCCCTCAAAATGATTTTATTTAGCCGTCAAATTATTCAGTTCAAAATGATTAGTGCTCTAGATCAGATGCAAGCTGCTGCTTGCACAGCTGTATATTTTGTTATGTTAAGCGGTGAGTATTTAAAAGAAAAATAAATTAAAAAACAAACAAATAATGAAAGAAGATACTGTGATGCGTGCGATTTATAAAAATCGTACTAGGTAAATTATATATTTTTTATATTTTTAAATATAAATAGATAAAGCACATATTTATTTATTATCACTTTTTATTTTTATAATATATAGACAGACGAGTTAGAGCGTTCCTATGGCGCGTGTAGTGTACCGAGCAACCATATTTGGCTCAATACCACACACCGTGGGAACCAGCCTTAAAATAACTGTTTTTTATTTTTGTTAGACATAATAAGAAAATTATAACGACAATAACAAAAAAAATTTAAATATAATATAATATAAAAATATAACAGTTAATTAGAGAGTTGACTAGAATAACTGGAAAACAAATTAAATTTATAACTGATAAGAGTTAAATGTTATACATAACACGATAGGCATACTTGATAATTTTTCACAAGTCCATTGAAATATGAAGTAAACAACTGCAGCAACCTATTTAGTCAGTGGTATTAAACTGGTTAATGGTGATAATAGTTGACTGTATAGACTATTTAGATTTCTGAAAATCAATATTGAAAGTTTGATCAAATTCATTTTATTTTATTATTTTTTTGTGATAACCTACCTAGTTTAAATTTTGATATGCCATGATTCTTGAAACTAAATGTCATTAATAGATAACAAAACAATTTTCTTTTTAAGTTCCAGAAAAAAAAAATCAATGAATCACAGACTTTCCCTAATTAATTTTAAGTCCCCAACTTCTCCAGTTGTGTACCATTAATGATCTCATTTTTAAAAAATTATCAGTTAATACCTTACAATTTAGCAAGGTAGAATAATATGGTAGATATAAATAAAACTACAGAGACTATGTAATAAGTAAAATTCAAATAGAGGAAGAGTAGTAGAATGTCATTTGTGTATCAATATTCAGTACTGCGCACAGTGTTTTACTATTATAAGAAATCATAAATTTATTTAAACTAATTTTCAATCTATTTATGAATTTTTAGTATAGATACATATTTGAAACCCAAAGTTGATATCGCCATAGAATACTCTTTAATTGTTGTGAAAACTCTAAGGATTCGAAAATATTGGTTTTAACTACGCTTAAAAATTCCAACAATCAGAATTTGAATACATTATGCAAAATTTAACAAAAAAAAAAATTAGACGAGCATACTTAGAGAATCAGCCTGCATATTTTATTATTTGTTTTAATTTTTCAATAATAATTTGCCTATATACTATATAGTATACACAATGAACAAAAATGAAATATTGATAAATGTATCAATATTTCATTTTTGTTCATTTTAATTTACTTATGTATGACAAATCAATTTCAGTAAATTAGTTATCTCATAAAATCCTTGTATTCTTGAAACTTCTACTATATATATTAATGTATAAACAATTAAAATAACACTTAATCTAGGTAAGTATGACACACCTTCCTTCAAAATTTGTTGCCAAAATTCAAATAGCCAATGACACCTTATGTATTAAGCAATCGTTTGATGTTTAGTCAAAACGATCTGGCAAATAACATATCATACACAGAGTCGGTCTAATTGAATGAATTGCTAAACTGGGGCCACGGACTACTTTAGCTTCATTAATTGAACTATGATAATATATTATTTACTACCAAAATAATATAACTGAAATATTGAAATTCACACAACTACCTATTACAACCTCATGAGTAGGTAAATCCAGTGTATACAGAAAAATATACAACTCCTACAACTTCCGCGCCCTAATCATGAATATTTATCATTAAAAAAATTGTTTAAATTAATTTAAATGTAAATGTAACCCAAATGATTGCATGTATTATTTAAAACTTTAAAAATATAGTCAACAAATAGCACCATAAATTAATTATTACTATAACTATAGTAACATTAATCTATGATTACGACCTTTTCTATGTCTCCAAATGAACTGCTGATCTGGAGTTAAAGCAGTTGTAGTGTGGTAAAAAAAGTTTGAATGAACTGAAACTGAACAAGGTTCATAATAAATTATGTAAGTGAGTATTATTATTAATTATAAACTATATGACATAAAAAAAGTGATATCACACACATTACTCAGTGTGGGCAACATAATATTGTGATGTCATAATAATACTCATATACAAGTGTCTGCTGAGTTCCAAGTTCCCAAAGTCCAAAATTACATGATTTTTACCTCCAGTTACCTGTTGCAAAAATATCGTCTACTTAAAATCGTTCACCAAAAATGATTAAATTTTGTATACGTGAAAAGTTCTACCGTATTTAAATGATCTGTTAGTGTTGTGTTTATGTTGAAAATTGCATGTTAAAACCCAGTTCAGTTGAGACGTCCAGGTTCGGTCGGCCTTGTTTGAAAACAGTCTCGAGTACCCAGCTGACTGCACGTCAGCACAGCAAGTCGCCAACCTAGAACCGACGTCTGAAGACCAGAGGCCTAGGATTTTTGTTAAGGGATAAAGGCAAAAATGGCATTCATCTAAATAAATAAACACATGTTTTTTTTACGGAGAAAATAAAGAATTGTTTTATTGAATCATTTATCATCAAATAGAAGTAAAGCTGATTTGTCAGAAAAGCCCATGAGCATAAAAACGGTCAACTGAGAGAAAGTGAATAATAGGTACAATTTTACATAGGTATATAGTATTCATGGAATGATAGACATATATCCGAAAAACATATATTTCAGATATATATATATAAACTTGGGTGTTAACCAGTCACAAAACTTGTGGCCCGGATCGAATATTGATATCATGGGAGCGTTCAGGCCGGGATTTATTACTACTTAAAAATAATGACAAATTCACATCCACGTGTGTGCAAATCAATATATGTATATATTGAGACTGACATCCACGTGGAATTTAACTGGATAAATGTTCAGATAGAATAGACTATACACTAAGAAATGAATAAATATATTTTTTCATAGATACCACTACACCAGTACATGGATTTCATACTTTGTTATCCATGTTACTACGGAAACCTCTAGTTCAAAAAAAAAAATGTTATTTCTGAACTAAAATTACTTATAACCTGTATTTAGGGAATGATATTCAATAGAGGGTGAATTTTAATAGCTATTAACCTTCTCCGGACGATACGGAATATTTTACAAAAAACTGCGTTAAAATCAGCCAAGCTGTTCTGCGATGACCAAAGATAATAGGGATTCATTTTTATACATATATAGATTATATTTATAATCAAATTATATTTAAAATACATATAAATAAATATATATTAACTGGGGCGTCAACCAGTCTTAAAAATTATCGTCCAGACGCAGGTAGTGATATAACGGGGAGCGTGCAGACCGGGACTCATTAATAGTTATTGATAATGACGATTTCACATCCACATGTGTGCAGATCGACATGTGTATATATTGAGACTGACAGCCACGTGGAATTTTCGTGGACACAGTATATACTTGGGACACCCCAGCAGGAATGTGAGGTTTGCTAGGTCACATATATTATAACCGGAAAGGGTAGCTGAACACTCTAATTCCAAGTTGATTAGTCCGTGGTTGTGGTAGCCCAACGGGTTAACCTACGGATCGCGAGATTCTTTTTTTTAGATATGCACATACACGTGGTTGCGAAGCTTAGTGCTTAGAGAAAGTGAATAATAGGTACAATTTTACACAGATATATAGTATTCATAGAATGATAGACATATATCCGAAAAACATATATTTCAGATATATATATATATATAAACTGGGGTGTCAACCAGTCCCAAAACTTGTTGCCCGGACCGAATATTGATATCATGGGAGCGTTCGGTCCGGGATTTATTACTACTTGTTAATAATGACAAATTCACATCCACGTGTGTGCAGATCAATATATGTATATATTGAGAAATCGATTTGGAATCGATTCGGTTTGGAAATCGATCGATAATATTACTCTTTTTTTTTTTAGATACACACATAACACGTGGTTGCGAAGCTTAGTGCTTAAAGGGAATAAAAAAAAAATGCAAGGGGGGGATTGGCCTATTGCGCATAGGATGTGGAACGCGAGGATTATTACAATGAGACACGACGCACAAACCTAATAGACGTTGGTTGATCTCACTAGATATAACAGAAGAATTTAACATAAAATATTATATCGTACACGAATTTAACATACGAGAGAAAGAAAAAAGGAAAAAAAAACATTTTAGACAAAATATTCTCAACCAACTTAAAACTAAATAACTAACGGGGTATGGGCCAATTATTAAATTACATGTATATTACCAGTCAACTCGCCCGAAGATGTCCGCCCAGTGGTCCAGATCGGGACTCCATCGGTTCGTTTGAGGTACCATCAGGAAACGTGCCAAGGTATACGACCTTTCTTAATGGCAAAATATGCGAACCCGTACAGTACGGAAGTGTTTTAGCAAAAGAACTGTATCAAAAGACCGTCCGGTGACAAAATCTAGACACGAAGAAGGAACGAACAAAACAAAAATAATTAGGAAGCGGAGCGCAAAGACATTCGTGATACGCGTTGCCACGGGCCGACGTTTTTGGCGATAAGGGGAAACATGATCTGATTGGCCGTTAACCGGTAGTCAGGAATATAACATTATTGTAAATTGCGAAAGATTGCAATCGCATAGACCTTATCGCGGGGAAGATTATTATTCATGATGACATGACATATCCGTCGACGCGGGCGTAATCTATTAACTAGTCGACTATATTGATTGTAGGTATGCTTGTCTTTCGATAACAGAAAACGGTCGATGTAGCAAACTGGAAGTCAAGCTGTAGGTATTGTAATTTACCTTTCTTTTAGTTTCATTAAGTTCTCGGTCATAGCCGATGGACAGCTTTTACGTTCGTTCAATTATGTAGGTAATTATGTAACATTACAGCAAACAAAAAAATTAAATCGGGAATAATAGTTATGCCCTTTTCGTTTGTGTATATGAGCGAAAAGTAATAATTATTTTCACAAAAGTACAAATAGGTAATTTTTTTATAATATATTATACAACTTCTAACAATCGTAATACAAATATTAATTAGTAAAATAAAAAAGTAAATACAAAATCATTAAAGTGGTTAATACTCGTAAACAAATGTATAAATACAAATTTATATATAAAAATAAAAAATAAATGATTCAATGCGTTGCCTGGAGTATTATGATAAGTGTATTATACGATCAGTTTCAAATTCAAAATTCATTATTAGGTATATCACAGTCTAATGTTAAAACGCGACTAGTCACAATAGTATTTTTAAATTTTATTTCAGAAATATGTTCTTTATATCTTATTTTAAAATTTCTATTTGTCTTGCCTACATACAATTTATTACAGTTACATTTAAGTTTATATATACCAGAATTTTCAAAAGAAGGGGGATTTTTTTGTGAAGTTTTTAGTTCTATTGTTTATATGTTTGATTAAATTATTATTAGTCTTAAAAGCGATTTTTACATTATTTATATTATTGTTTAATGTTTGATATGTATTGAATTTATTACCTTAATTTAATAAATTGTTTTCAACTTTATTTAAAATTATGGATGTTAAATTAGTAACTCTTGGTTGAAAAGAATGTTGGGTTTTAAGTTGTAATTTCTGTGTATTTTGTGCTACTAAAATATTAATTCTATTATTAACCCTATGCAATTTCTCATTTTTCGTATATAGAAATTTTTGTTGTATGTAATTTTTAAAGTGTGAAATTTGTATGTGGTTTAAATTTTGGAATAAAATTGTTTCTAAATTATTAATCTCTTCTACTATTTATAGGTTTTTTGCTAAATAAATATTTTATTTGAGAGTTCAACCATATTGTCTCTGCTCCATTCTTGCCTTTGATTGCAGCTTCAGACGTATATTTGATATGTATGTTGATGTATTTTAAAACAACTTTCAATTTCTTACAAGTTTTATTGAAGTAGATATTCATATTGGTATTCATTAATTTCATGTTTAAATATTCAATTCTGTTCATTAACCGAGTTGGAACATTGGCTTGGCCTGCCATAACATATAATAAAATAATAATAAAAAAAAAAACAAAATTATTAAAGTGATTAATACTCGTAAATAAATTTATAAATGTTTCAGATACAACTAGAAGTAGGACAGAGAAAACTAATGACAAAATTGGATAATGTCTAATCAATTTAAGTGTTTTGTTTAAAGAATCAAAGTGGAAGTTAAACAGAACGTTTTAAAGATGTTACAGGGAGCATATATTAAAGGAAAATAATCGCCTAGATCAACCTTACACAAGAGCACAGAGAGTATTAGCAAATATGTCAGTAGTGAAATGAACAACGCACCGTTAAATGACCCAAACTTTTGTCTCGAAATAGCTATTCACAGGAGCAATTTGTAAAAAACTACGAACTATAAATATGTTAGATAGACGAGAAAAAATAGATTTTATAATAATAATATATCTAGACGAATAAGTAAAAATTAAAATTCAACTAGGTATGGACCGAGCAAAGGCATTGATGGAAAATTTAAGATTCTGTTAGGGAAGGGCCTCATAGGGAACAGATAGATGATAATAAATTAACAGTAGAATGAATAAAAAAGCCTGCAGAAGGACATCAAATCCTTATTCGCAAGATAAATTGCTAAGAGTATTATGTCCCATATTATGCTTCATATATGAACTAATAAGAGTAAATGAGGAAACCTATTTTAAGTGTGAGAATTTAGCAAAGGACCTCCAGTTGAGAGATGAGGGAGTATTTTTAACATCCAATTAATCTCACTTATCAAGAAAATCATTGCTTTTATTGGTTAAAAAATATATATATATATAAATTCAGTGTGGAATTTTAAATACCTAATAATCATTTTATTCATTATATTATATTAAACTAGGTGTTCTGGCCACACTTTGCTGCGGCTCTGATAATACTAAAGTAAATATTATATTGTTGATACCTACCTAAATTTAATGAAACAGTATTTTCTACTGAAGAAATCATACAAGAAGTCACACATAAAAATTTTAGAAGACTACTAAAAGCTGCAGTCCCAAATATCATAGTAACTAGAATGAAGAACGTCAGTTAATCGCTATCAATTTTTAACAATTTTTAATATTTTTAACAAGCAAACTACCTATATAATTAAAATTTGTTTAATTATATTTTAGGCAAAAGAAACATTTCCTGAAGTTACTCATGCTTCCCAGAAAAGCACTTTAGCTGATCCTTTTGATGTAAAAAGAATTATTGTGAAGGTAATATTTTATTGGTTCAATAATATAATAATATATATATATATATATATCTATATCTATATTCCAATAACTAAATAATTGTCAAAAATGTAAAAATTAATTTTAACTTTTAAATCTTAGTATTAATTATATAATATTAAATCCATTCCTATATAGTTATTAGAATTGATTTATTCAGTTTTAAAAATGTTTCAACGTCCAAAAACGACTATTTTCTGTTACAGGACAAACATACCTGCAATCGATATGGTCGACCAGTTAATAGATTATGCCCGTGTAGATGGATATGTTATGTCATTGTGAGCAATAATCCTCTCCCCCCGCGCAATGGTTTATGCGATCGCAACCTTTCGCAATTGGGATTTGCAGATAAGCCGACGCTACCTGGTGGCGGATTTTTTTAATTAATAAAAGTAGGACTGATAATAAATCGTTGAATGCGATCATAGACAAGTGAGATTTATTTAAAATAAATATTATTTTTTTTTTTTAAATTGAGTAGGTAGTCAAGTGATTAACTTATAAAATTGTAATTTACATTTTGTTTTAAATTAATTAAATTAAAAATCAATAATCGAACAAAAAGCAATGTGTACTGCAATGTATTTGGCTGCAAAACATTTTATACCGATGACAAAACTATAAGCTTCCACTGGTTTCCAAAAAAAGATGGAGTTGCACCATGGGCAAACAAAACTGGAAATGTAGAAAATATTAATAAAAGACGAGCTTAGGCAATAAATCTAAAAATGGATAAACAAACATTAAAAAAAGATTGAGAATTTGTTCCAAGCATTTTACTGACTACTGTTTTTTTCCACTTATCCCAAGTATATTTTCACAATATAATAATTCAACTATAGGTACATTTTCCATAAAAATGTAAAGTATTTTTTGTAAGAAATGAATGAACTATACTGAAGTAGTTTTTAATTCAACATTGCAGTGTTAGGGTCTTATCTAAATTATAAGTTTTAATTTATGTTATTAAGATTTGCAAAAAATAACCAGGAGACTAAAAAAAATGCCATACCAACTCAGAACCAAAATCTATTGTTTATCAGCCTTCACTAAAAAAAAAATATCCCAAAGATGTATTAGAAATCATAATTTAATGGCTAAGCAAAATTGTGAGGTAATTCATTTTTAACTTCAATATTTATAAATTTTAAAATACTTTTAATTAACTTGGTTTAATATTTAATAGCATGTGAAGAGTTCGGATTTTTCTTTTGTACAAGAAAATTTAATACATGAATATGATACAGTTCCAACACAATCAGTTGATAAAAGTGACATTCCAATAAACAAAGAATTCCATATTCTTAGTATTATGGATGATATTGGACAGAAATCTAAAACTAGAGATTTTACAGTTCAAGTGTCTACAGGCGATATTGCAAATCCTTAGCGAAAATACTGAAATGTAAAACGTCTATAAGACTTATCGACTCCATACTGTCAGACCGGAAATTTAGAGTGCTCCTAAACGGGAGAGAGAGTAGGTACAAGTACCTCCAAAACGGCGTCCCTCAAGGATCTGTCCTCTCCCCAGTATTGTTTAATGTTTACACATCTGATATCGTGAACACAACATCGCGGAAATTTATGTATGCAGATGATGTGGGATTGGTAGCTCAAGCCGAGTCATTTGAAAAACTGGAAGAGATACTGAATGAGGATCTATCCATAGTACAAACATTTTAAGTCATGGCACCTAACACTCAACCCAAACAAAACTACTTCCATTGCGTTCCACCTAAATAACAGAGAATCAGATAGAAAACTAAACTTAATGGTTCAGGGAGTTAACATACAAGGAGAAGACGCCCCGAAATACTTGGGAATAAAGTTAGACAGGACTTTAACCTTCAAACAGTACTTAGAAGGAGTAAAAAACAAACTAAAAACTAGGAACAATATTATCAGTAAGCTGGCCGGAACAAACTGGGGGTGCAGGGCAAATGTCCTTCGCACTTCTACTTTGACTTTGGTGTATAGTGCTGCGGAATACTGTACACCAGTATGGGGGTGGAGTGCGCACACGAAAAAAGTAGATGTGGAATTAAACAATACAATGAGAATAATATCAGGTTGTGTTCGGTCAACGAAGGTGCAGTGGCTCCCAGTACTTTCAAATATAGCCCCACCAGAAATATGCAGATATGCAGCAACGAAAAAAATATTAGAACAAATTAAAAAATTAAAAAACTCAACACACCTCCCAGTTCATAACGACATATATGATGCGCCATTTAAACGATTGAAGTCTAGACACCCTATTTGGTCTATCGAGAGTACAACAGAGGTTCCGGAGGATTTGTGGAAGAAAATTTGGAGAGATGAAAACGTCGTAAATGGCCTCGTCAACGATCCAACCCAGAGAGTTTCAGGTTTTGAACTCCCTCGTGAAAAGTGGACCGTTCTAAACCGAATTAGAACAGAACAGGAAAAATGTAATTTCCTTTTACATAAATAGAAAATGGTAGATACACCACTCTGTGAGTGTAGGCCGGTCCGAACCATCAAACACGTTGCAGAGGTATGCCCTCTAACAAAGTATGAAGGAGGGATAGTAGGGCTTCACAAAGGAGACAGCTAGGCACAAGATTGGCTTAGTACCNTATTGTATTTATATGTTATGTTTATATTTATTTTATAGTTTATAGACTTTTTCTTTTGTTTATAGTTTATAGACTTTTTCTTTTGTTTATAGTTTTATATATGTTTATTTAAAAGTTTCACCAATTAATAATAATATGCCATATGAATTTAAAAAATTGAAAATCCATTTAGAACTATTTTAGAAACAAAAGCAAAATTTATAACCATGACAGGCTTTTAAAATTTTAGACAAAATAATTGAAATATTTTCCAATAAATATCCAGATATAAGAACTCATAAGCTAAGTGTCCGAGAACGGGTTATATTGGTTTTTTTAAAACTCAAACATGGAACTTTCATTTGCTGTATTATCAGTATTTTTCAAAAATGTTAGCTTGTCTACTTGTAGATCAATTTTTATCACTACTGTTCCTCTTCTCGGTAATATTTTTAGTAATTTAATTTATTGGCCTTCAAGAGAAGAAACTGCTGTAAACATTTCTTATTGTTTTGAGAATTTGTCTAATGTACGCGTTGTATTAGACTGTACTGAAGTTCCTATTCAAAAATCTAAATGTTTATCCTGCCGAATAAAATTGTATAGCAACTACAAATCTAATTTCACATTGAAATTCTTGATTGGTGTATCTCCAGCTGGACTTATTACTTTTGTTAGTGAACCATATCTGATAAAGTAATATTTGAAAAACAAGGAGACGCTCTTTCCCCTGTCCTCTTTAATCTAGTGCTTGAAAAAATTGTCAGAGAACTAAATACTATTGATGGGGTTACGATGGGTAACACGACAATAGGTTTGCTAGCATATGCTGATGACTTAGCCATTTTGGGAAATAATTTAGATACTGTAAAACAGAATTGTAGAAAACTAATAAATGTAGCAGGCAAATGTGGTCTAAAGATTAATGACAAAAAAACGGAGTATGTCATAATTGGAAGAAGAAGTAGAGAATACCAACCAGGAGAGTTTATGGAAATAGATAACCATAAGTTTAAGAGAGCGTCACATTTTAAATACCTAGGATCTATAATAACACAAGATAGTGACCTTAAGATGGAGATGGACACTAGGATTCTAATGGGAAATAGGTGCTTTTTTGGCTTAGGGAGTATGTTTAGCTCAAAAATCTTGTCGACAAAATTAAAAATACAATTATACATGACCCTGATAAGACCAGTAGTTTTATATGGCTCTGAGACGTGGACACTGAGAAAGGTAGAAGAAAAAAGACTTGCGGTGTTTGAACGAAAAATCCTAAGAAGAATCTATGGACCATGTATCGATTCTGACACTAGAGAATGGACGATACGCCACAATGATGAGCTGAAGAACTTGTATCAAAAACCAGACATTATATCCGAAATTAATAGGAGAAGATTAATGTGGGCTGGACATGCCTGGAGGAAAGAGGGCTCTTTCATTAAGGCGGTTATTAAAGAAAATCCGGCTGGGAAAAGATATCGTATCAAAAAGGAGGTTAAAGCAGTAGAACGAAATACACAGTGGAGAGAAGCTGCAGAGGATAGGGAAAGATGGCGACAAATTTGTTTGCAGGGATGGTCTTGAAGGCCGTAACCCACAAGAAGAAGAAGAATATTTGAAAAATGTAACCTCATTTCTTTATTAGATAAATCAGATGCTATTATGATAGATCATTGATTATTTATGCAATGAAAGAGGAATTTTATTAATTAAACCCCCTCCTTTTTTTAAAGATAAAAAGCAGTTTATAAGCCAAGAAGCTTTAGAAACCAAGGCTATAGACAGTGCTAGGGTGATCATAGAGTGGATTAATCAAAGGATAAAGATATTTAAAATTTTTCAAAATAAATTTAGCTGAGGATGACACGCAAATTTAGCAAAAGATATAATGATAATATAGTATGTGGACTTTGTAATTTGGGAAGTAGTATATTTTCTGATGAAAAATGTAATACTGATATTAAGTGGTGGTTGACACCAAATTTGTTTCTCCGCTTTTATTAAATATAGGTAAATGTGTAATTCTTAATGAATATATATATAAACTCAATAATATTACATATTAAATATAAACATGTTGCTTATTTAATATATTTTTATATCTTAACTATAACACACATAATGTTCTTAAATAAAAACAAAAAAATTATGTAACTATGTTTATTTATTATTATAGTCACAAACATGATGAATCATTTTTTCAAAATAAATTATTTTTAAACCTAATGACAGGTTTTCACAAAAGATTAGATTTATTCCTACATTAATAACATAGTAGTTATTTTCTAGACTATTATAAATGACAAAATCACAATTGTCAACATTAAGCATAAGCATACCTATATTTTTTTTTTTTTAAAGTTGAATTTGACAATAGTAAGCATGCTTTTCCTTGAGTAACCACTGACCTTTAATATCTTTAACAATATAATTAAGATTATTTAATAAGTCTATTAAACCCATAGAACTACCTTTAAATGGACATTTGATTTCTAACAATTTTATAGGAATTTTATCACTATTTAGTATAACACCATCTGGGGAATATCCTATCCAAGGAACTTTGTCAGATGAAATTAAACCACTTAGTACTACATCATATTCAGTATTTTGAATGTACAACTCTCAAGCTGTTAATTCATACTGGATACTATTTTTCACAAATTTATTACTCATTGGTAGTGGCTGAAAATACTTGCTGGATTTAGTAGCCATTCATCATCAGATTTCTGACGCTTTTCATATGTGTATAACTAGTAGCATCTACTACCAGTTATTCTAAATTGCCTTATGCTATGCCAAAAAGATTTTTCACTTTTTATCCTAATATATTCAATACTGTATTTAGTAAGTTTTAACAAGTTTTAACATATTCTTCTACTATAGTTAAGAGCTCATGATCAGTTATAGGGAATAAATTTACAACTGTTGAATTTAAATTTTCATCATTCATATCTCGAGTACATGTTCTACCTCTGGCATGCACTGCTAAAAACGATTTGTCAGTCACTTTGATGAACTCATTTCTAAGGTGAAATAAATAGATTTTAGTATTAAATAAATATTAAGAAAAGGGAAAACAAATAATTTGCACTCTTTATATTCACATTGAAAAATATGTAATAATTACAAAAAAATTTATAATAAGTGAGAAAGTATAAAATTTAAAAAGGTTTGTGTAATAAGATGTACAATAGATAACCTACTTATATATTGACTTTTTAATAACATTATAATATATTATGATGTGATAGGTAATCACAACTTTATTGATGAACTAACATAGAATTACCTATTACAAAATAACATGTCATTTAAATTAAATAAATATATAGGTAAATACCCATACCTGATAAAGTTAATCTGGTTAGAATCAATATTCACATTAGAACTTGGAGTCAGTCGTTTCACACAACAGTAGTCATCTAACGTATAAGATAATAATTTATTGAAATAAATAAATTTATTCATTTATTGTTTACTAATGATAATGATTATCATGAGCCATGGAGCATACATATTATATAGTTTATAGACCATATTTAAAATTAGAATTCGGCGGTAAAACAGTCCGACTTTCGCGGCCATTTTTAAAACGATTCTAGCGCTCATAGTGTTATGAAACCATCCCGATTTACAATAATGATATACTCCTGACTACGGGTTAACGGTCATTCAAATCACGTTTCCCCTTATCGCTAAAACGTGGCAACGTGGCAACGTGTGTCACGAACGTCTCTGCGCTCCGCTACCTAGTTATTCTTGTTTTGTTCGTTCCTTCTTCGTGTCTAGACTTCGTCTCGAGATTTTATCACCGGACGGTCTTTTGATACAGTTCTTTTGCTAAAACACTCCCGTACTGTACGGGTTCGCATATTTTGCCATTAAGAAAGGTCGTATACCTTGGCACGTTTCCTGATGGTGCCTCAAACGAACCGATGAAGTGAGTCCCTATCTGGTCCACTGGGTGGACATCTTCGGGCGAGATGACTGGTAATATACATGTAATTTAATAATTGGCCCATACCCCGTTAGTTATTTAGTTTTAAGTTAGTTGAGAATATTTTGTCTAAAATGTTTTTTTTTCCTTTTTTCTTTCTCTCGTATGTTAAATTCGTGTACGATATAATATTTTATGTTAAATTCTTCCGTTATATCTAGTGAGATCAACCAGCGTCTATTAGGTTTGTTCGTCGTGTCTCATTATAATAACCCTCGCATTCCACATCCTATGCGCAACAGGCCAATCCCCCCCCCCTTGCATTTTTTTTTTATTCCCTTTAAGCACTAAGCTTCGCAACCACGTGTTATGTGCGTATCAAAAAAAAAAAAAGAGTAATATTATCGATCGATTTCCAAACCGAATCGATTCCAAATCGATTTCTCAATATATACATATATTGATCTGCACACACGTGGATGTGAATTTGTCATTATTAACAAGTAGTAATAAATCCCGGACCGAACGCTCCCATGATATCAATATTCGGTCCGGGCAACAAGTTTTGGGACTGGTTGACACCCCAGTTTATATATATATATATATCTGAAATATATGTTTTTCGGATATATGTCTATCATTCTATGAATACTATATATCTGTGTAAAATTATACCTATTATTCACTTTCTCTAAGCACTAAGCTTCGCAACCACGTGTATGTGCATATCTAAAAAAAAGAATCTCGCGATCCGTAGGTTAACCCGTTGNGGTGTCCCAAGTATATACTGTGTCCACGAAAATTCCACGTGTCTGTCAGTCTCAATATATACACATGTCGATCTGCACACATGTGGATGTGAAATCGTCATTATCAATAACTATTAATGAGTCCCGGTCTGCACGCTCCCCGTTATGTCACTACCTGCGTCTGGACGACAATTTTTAAGACTGGTTGACGCCCCAGTTAATATATATATATTTATATGTATTTTAAATATAATTTGATTATAAATATAATCTATATATGTATAAAAATGAATCCCTATTATCTTTGGTCATCGCAGAACAGCTTGGCTGATTTTAACGCAGTTTTTTGTAAAATATTCCGTATCGTCCGGAGAAGGTTAATAGCTATTAAAATTCACCCTCTATTGAATATCATTCCCTAAATACAGGTTATAAGTAATTTTAGTTCAGAAATAACATTTTTTTTTTGAACTAGAGGTTTCCGTAGTAACATGGATAACAAAGTATGAAATCCATGTACTGGTTTAGTGGTATCTATGAAAAAATATATTTATTCATTTCTTAGTGTATAGTCTATTCTATCTGAACATTTATCCAGTTTTGATTTTGTTGAGTGAGTTTTTTGAGAAGTGTTTGTTCATTGCAGTTGGTTCAGCGCAATTTGATTCAACAATTTGCCACCAATTAGACGTACAAATCAGAGGTCGTAGTGGTTGCGATTTGAGAGGAATGTGTTGTGGTGATGAAATAAATGTTAAATGATAATATATTTTTTTTATTGTATGGTTGCTATTAGTTTCAGATAAATATTGGTTACTATTGGTTAATTGGACATGTTTTTTGATTTATATTATTTGTTTTCAATAATATATTTAGTAAAAATTGTAATGATGACTGATATTTGAACTCGATACCATTGCATTAATATTATAAACGTTGTCTGTAAAAATGTAAAAGTTTGTTTAAAACGTATTTATAGTAATTAATAACACACAAGATTGAAAATAAAATCTATAAAAAACTGTCTGTTTAAATGTATGGTTCTTACTGACTGTGACTTACTGACTACCATTCCAGTTTAAAAAGTTCAAATTTTCCGTGAAACTATGTTTTTTTGCGACCATAAATATGGCACAAGATCAAATATTAAATGTTGCTGGTTTAGACCTAACTGTTCAATGTTTTTCCTATGGTCAATTATATGTAGCTCTGTCGCGTGTCACATGCAAAAAAAAATTGCTGGCCCCAGAAGGTGAGACACTTAATGTGGTGTATCTAGAAATATTTAATGCTTAAGGCAAACAGTAATTTTAAATTTAAAAATATATCCCATAACAGAATACTTTTAGTCTGCTGAAGGTGGACTACCTACTTTCCACTTATTTGTTTTTATTCATAACTAATACTGTCAAAACCAAAAAGGAATATGGATAAAAAGATAATAAAATTTGGCATGGGCAAGGGTGGGGGGGACAGCTAGTTTAATATAATAATGTTGTTTGGATATATGTGTCCATTATTCTATGTATAGAACCTATGTAAAACCTATGTATTAACCTATGTAAAATCGTACCTACTATTCACTTTCAATCAATTGACAGTTTTTATGACCATGGGCTTTTCTGTCACATCAACGTAACTTTATTTCTATTTGATGATTAATGATTCAATAAAACAGTTCTTTATTCTCTTCATAAAAAACATGTGTTTATTTATTTAGATGAATGTCATTTTCCCATTTTTCTCCTTACAAAAATCTTAGGACTCCTTGGTTCTAGATTGGCAACCTTGCTCCTAGGCGGGTAGTCAACTGGCCGCTCGGGACTGTTCTCAAAACAAGGCTGACCGAACCGGGACGTCTTAATGTATTAATTTAAACATTTTAGTTGCCTGTCAATGAGATTGGTAATGAAAAAGTTGTAACAGCAGTTAATGAAATATCATGGTTAAATATATCAATGCAATCTAATATTAGTAATACTGACAAATCATCATCTATAATTCAAGTAATTTTATTATGTTTAATTAGGCTGTTGTTTAATGTAATTGCTATAGCCGTTTAGTATTTATTAAAATACAATTTGCCCATTATGTAAGTTATTGCCAATAATATAAGCTGTGAAGGAGTATCACCATTAGATGAATCTATGCAGTTGAATACCTGTCCTTTGGAAACTTCAAGTTCAAGTAATTTACTTTATAATATATATATCATATTATCACAATATTAGTTTTTAATGTTTAATTTAATATGTATAGGAAAATATGAATTCTTCATATTTGATTGCTGCTAGTGGTGCCGCTGTTTATGATACACTAAGCCATACATTTTTGAAGCAAGCAATTCATAAATTATCCGATCAATTAGTAGCTAAGAATAGAAAATTGAAGGTATTGCAACAAAATTTGAGACTAAAAGAAAAAAAAAATTGCTTCTTTGAAAACTATCATACTTCAACTTTAGAAGTAAAATCTCATCACCGAAGATGCTAATGATATTTTATTATACTAGTTTGGTAAGCATAAAGATTAAACAACAAACTGGTAAAAAAAAAAAAAAAAATGCTAATAAAAAAGTACAGCCCTGCTGTATAACAATTTGCTTTATCCTTGAACTTGCTGTAACCCAAAGCATATAATTATGTCAGGAAAAGGTTTAATACAATTAGGCCACATTCACGCACTTTATCAAAATGGTATTCACATGTTGATGCCAAACCGAGATTTATAAATGGAGCTTTAAAAATACAATTTTCTAGTTCAGTAATTTGTAGCATAAAGCTAGATGAGATGGCCATTCGTCATCACAGAATTTGATGGAATAAATTATTATGGTGGAATAGATCTAGGAAGTAGGAACAGGTATGTTTGCTGATAATTTGGAAAAAGCTAAAGAATATCTAGTTTTCATGGTAGTGGCAATTAATAGAAACTGGAAAATACCTATTGGGTATTTCCTAGTGATTAGTTTAAACGGTTTACAAAATGTTGTGCTTACTTAACACGCGTTGAACCCTTCTTTTAAAGAATACTAATGTAGTTGGTTTAACATTTGATGGAGGCTCATTAAATGTAGCAATAGCACGGATTCTTGGATGGGAGTTTAATATTAACACATAAAATATAAAATGTGAAGATGTAGTTGTATTTTTTGACCCTCCACATATGGTACAACCAATAGGTTTTACTTTTGGAGAAAAAAAAACTACTTGATGGTGATGAAAATATAACAGCATTCAATTTTATTAATTTTATTTTCAACCACTTATTATGTTCCAGGAAACTGAAGGATGTCACCTGGCAAACAAGCTAAAAAAATATCACATCTTTTTTAAACAGAAGATGAAAGTTAAATTAGCAACACAACTTCTAAGTCTGTGGCAGATGCTTTAAAGTTTTGTAAGTATACTTTAGAACTTAAAGTAAGTTTTCAGAAGTTGACAGGATAGTGAAGTTTATTGAAATCTTTAATACTAAATTCGACATACTGAACACCAGATCTATCAGATGTATTGGCAACAAGAAAACTTTGTGTGATGAAAATTACCAAGGTATTTTCAAATTTGACAAAAATGCCTTCAGCTTAAGACCCCGTTAAGCGAAGAAAAGTATGAAGCAGAACGGAGAGCATGTAAACAGGTCATGCAGAGGGAAAAAAGAAACCACATGAATGAACTATTGCGTGAGACAGAGCAAGACCACACACAAGGTAGAATACGGAATTTTTTCGTAAAGATTAAGAAGTACAAACAATTTAACCCTAATCTGAAAGCTGTTAAGGATATTGATGACAACATCTTAATAGACCCAATTGAGAAAGTAACAAGATGGAAAAATTACTTCGAGGAACTGCTTAATAGTGAAGTACCAGCGAGGCCAGTGCCAGCATGGATAGATCATAGAGCGGAGCAGGAGGTAAACGATGTATCCAAGCAAGAAGTCAAAAAAGCTATCAACAGTCTGAAGAATTGGAAAGCGCCTGGAACAGATGGAATACCGGCCGAACTAATAAAATATGGCGGGGAAGCACTACACCAAGCCATATATGACTTATGTCAAAAATTATGGAACGATGAGGAACTCCCAGAAGAATGGAACAAGGCCATTGTGGTACCACTACACAAGAAAGGTGACAAACTTAATTGTAACAACTATAGAGGAATATCACTGCTGAACACGACTTATAAGGTTTTCTCAAAGATATGACTAGGAAGATTACAACTCTTTTCAGATGAATGTATAGGGGAGTATCAATGCGGATTTAAAAAAGGGAAATCGACAATAGATCAGCTGTCGGTGATTAGTCAAATTATAGAAAAAAAGTTTGAATATAGGCAAAATCTGTGGCAGGTCTTTGTCGATTTCAAAAAGGCCTATGACAGCATTCATCGGGAAAGTCTTTATAATATTATGTACTAATTCGGAATTCCAAGTAAGCTTATTTCCTTGACAATAGTATGCATGAATGGTACAAAATATCAAGTAAGAGTTGACAACATACTATCCGAAGAATTCCAAGTGGTAACAGGCTTGAAACAAGGTGACTCTCTTTCACCACTACTATTCAATATTGCACTGGAGAAAGTTGTACGAAGTATACAAAGGAATAACTATGGTATCGACATCGGCACAATCAAGATTGGTATTTTAGGTTTCGTTGATGATTTGAATTTAGTTGGTGATGATGGAGAGAGTGTGGCCCACAGAAATTAGGGATATCAAATTGGGAAGACAAGGTACAAAATCAAGAAGAGTGGAGGGAGGTGTCAGTGGCGGCAAAAAATCTTGAAGAGTTGTGATGCCAATGAAAAAGAAGAAGAAGAAGAAGAAGAGATTTTCAAATTTTCAAAATCAATTACAAATTATATTAAAGGGCTTAAAGTGAAGGATAGAGATAAATTTGTTAATATATTAGACTCAGAGGCAGGATTTAAGGATTATAACTTAACTTATAATAACTTACCATTCTAAGTTAATAATGAAAAAAACCTTAAATCCTTTCAGAAATAGGTTTATATATATCGTAGAAAAATCACATCAAATCAGTGTAGTGGTGGTTTTTTACGGCTAACAACTTGCAGTAAAAAAAATAAATTTGGTAATAGGGATTTCATAAGCGCTGCTCTACTATTTCCTAACACTATGGTGATTTGTGTACTGTACCGAAAATATTTTACTGGGTTAAATTAAATTAAATTCAAAAATAATATTCAATGTTGGTATCTAATGAATTAGTCTGTTTGATGACACCATGGCGGTGAAATAAGAATTTAATTAGTTGATATTTGTCTTAAATACGTGCAAAGGTATATATTTTTAAATTAGATACAGATTCATTATAGTGTTTATTATCAGTTTCCATTTAATCTTCAAACACTTCTCGAGGAGGTGTCTTATGAAGCCATTCAGGCTATGACAATTGGTCCAGGTAGCATTTTTCTTCTAGGTCGTGTTTAACCTCATCTAATGTCTGATCGAGTCCACTATATAGATAATAAAAATGGGTAAATTGCTTACCCTGTATGATATCTTTTTGATTAAATCGACCAAACAAANTGAATTAGTCTGTTTGATGACACCATGGCGGTGAAATAAGAATTTAATTAGTTGATATTTGACTTAAATACTTGCAAAGGTATATATTTTTAAATTAGATACAGATTCATTATAGTGTTTATTATCAGTTTCCATTTAATCTTCAAACACTTCTCGAGGAGGTGTCTTATGAAGCCATTCAGGCTATGACAATTGGTCCAGGTAGCATTTTTCTTCTAGGTCGTGTTTAACCTCATCTAATGTCTGATCGAGTCCACCATATAGATAATAAAAATGTGTAAATTGCTTACCCTGTATGATATCTATTTGATAAAATCGACCAAACAAATGGTGTGTTTAAAGAAAACCAAATAGAAGACAGCTAGCTGGACCATTCGCCATATTCAGAATGACTTCATAATTGATTTTCTCGAGAAGATTTTGAAGAATAAATGGAAACTGATAATAAACATTATAATAATGATGTAGTTAAAATTAAAAAATATGTATGGTTTTACAATTAAGTTTGTGTTATTTATTTTTCTGCTTTCATCTTTGAAAACATTTTGTCAGCAATTTTGTTTCGATTTATAATGAAAGAATTATTCGATTTATAATGAAAGAATTACTTCTGAAAAGAAATCTGACTAAAGAGGTAGTTATTTGATTCAAGATTTGTTAATGAAAATGTGCTGATATTAGATATTATTAATATAATCGATTAATACATTTAAAAAATATTCAGATAATGTTTTCATATTTCTTTTTTCATTGTTTATGTGTTTTTCTTCTAAAAGTAATTTCACGTAAATGTTATTGTGGATATTTTATATCTCGTAAGTCTGTGTTATTATTTAGTTGCACACATGCGTGACATATTTTCTATCACAACATGTGTTTAATATTGAAACTATTGACTTGGTTTTCCCATTTGTTAGAAAACACTGTGGGGAAAATCGAAAAATGCCCTCTTCAAAGTAGTTTTATAGTCAAAAATCATTTCAGAAATATGTTTATGTATATCGTAGAAAAATCACATCAAATCAGTGTAGTGGTGGTTTTTTACGGCTAACAACTTGCAGTGAAAAAAATAAATTTGGTAATAGGGATTTCATAAGCGCTGCTCTACTATTTCCTAACACTATGGTGAATTGTGTACTGTTACGAAAATATTTTACTGGGTTAAATTAAATTAAATTCAAATATAATATTCAATGTTGGTATCTAATGAATTAGTCTGTTTGATGACACCATGGCGGTGAAATAAGAATTTAATTAGTTGATATTTGACTTAAATACTTGCAAAGGTATATATTTTTAAATTAGATACAGATTCATTATAGTGTTTATTATCAGTTTCCATTTAATCTTCAAACACTTCTCGAGGAGGTGTCTTATGAAGCCATTCAGGCTATGACAATTGGTCCAGGTAGCATTTTTCTTCTAGGTCGTGTTTAACCTCATCTAATGTCTGATCGAGTCCACTATATAGATAATAAAAATGGGTAAATTGCTTACCCTGTATGATATCTTTTTGATTAAATCGACCAAACAAATGGTGTGTTTAAAGAAAACCAAATAGAAGACAGCTAGCTGGACCATTCGCCATATTCAGAATGACTTCATAATTGATTTTCTCGAGAAGATTTTGAAGAATAAATGGAAACTGATAATAAACATTATAATAATGATGTAGTTAAAATTAAAAAATATGTATGGTTTTACAATTAAGTTTGTGTTATTTATTTTTCTGCTTTCATCTTTGAAAACATTTTGTCAGCAATTTTGTTTCGATTTATAATGAAAGAATTACTTCTGAAAAGAAATCTGACTAAAGAGGTAGTTATTTGATTCAAGATTTGTTAATGAAAATATGCTGATAGTAGATATTATTAATATAATCGATTAATACATTTAAAAAATATTCAGATAATGTTTTCATATTTCTTTTTTCATTGTTTATGTGTTTTTCTTCTAAAAGTAATTTCACGTAAATGTTATTGTGGATATTTTATATCTCGTAAGTCTGTGTTATTATTTAGTTGCACACATGCGTGACATATTTTCTATCACAATATGTGTTTAATATTGAAACTATTGACTTGGTTTTCCCATTTGTTAGAAAACACTGTGGGGAAAATCGAAAAATGCCCTCTTTAAAGTAGTTATATAGTCAAAAATCATTTCAGAAATATGTTTATGTATATCGTAGAAAAATCACATCAAATCAGTGTAGTGGTGGTTTTTTACGGCTAACAACTTGCAGTGAAAAAAATAAATTTGGTAATAGGGATTTCATAAGCGCTGCTCTACTATTTCCTAACACTATGGTGAATTGTGTACTGTTACGAAAATATTTTACTGGGTTAAATTAAATTAAATTCAAAAATAATATTCAATGTTGGTATCTAATGAATTAGTCTGTTTGATGACACCATGGCGGTGAAATAAGAATTTAATTAGTTGATATTTGTCTTAAATACTTGCAAAGGTATATATTTTTANCTGCTTTCATCTTTGAAAACATTTTGTCAGCAATTTTGTTTCGATTTATAATGAAAGAATTACTTCTGAAAAGAAATCTGACTAAAGAGGTAGTTATTTGATTCAAGATTTGTTAATGAAAATGTGCTGATATTAGATATTATTAATATAATCGATTAATACATTTAAAAAATATTCAGATAATGTTTTCATATTTCTTTTTTCATTGTTTATGTGTTTTTCTTCTAAAAGTAATTTCACGTAAATGTTATTGTGGATATTTTATATCTCGTAAGTCTGTGTTATTATTTAGTTGCACACATGCGTGACATATTTTCTATCACAATATGTGTTTAATATTGAAACTATTGACTTGGTTTTCCCATTTGTTAGAAAACACTGTGGGGAAAATCGAAAAATGCCCTCTTTAAAGTAGTTATATAGTCAAAAATCATTTCAGAAATATGTTTATGTATATCGTAGAAAAATCACATCAAATCAGTGTAGTGGTGGTTTTTTACGGCTAACAACTTGCAGTGAAAAAAATAAATTTGGTAATAGGGATTTCATAAGCGCTGCTCTACTATTTCCTAACACTATGGTGATTTGTGTACTGTACCGAAAATATTTTACTGGGTTAAATTAAATTAAATTCAAAAATAATATTCAATGTTGGTATCTAATGAATTAGTCTGTTTGATGACACCATGGCGGTGAAATAAGAATTTAATTAGTTGATATTTGTCTTAAATACGTGCAAAGGTATATATTTTTAAATTAGATACAGATTCATTATAGTGTTTATTATCAGTTTCCATTTAATCTTCAAACACTTCTCGAGGAGGTGTCTTATGAAGCCATTCAGGCTATGACAATTGGTCCAGGTAGCATTTTTCTTCTAGGTCGTGTTTAACCTCATCTAATGTCTGATCGAGTCCACTATATAGATAATAAAAATGGGTAAATTGCTTACCCTGTATGATATCTATTTGATAAAATCGACCAAACAAATGGTGTGTTTAAAGAAAACCAAATAGAAGACAGCTAGCTGGACCATTCGCCATATTCAGAATGACTTCATAATTGATTTTCTCGAGAAGATTTTGAAGAATAAATGGAAACTGATAATAAACATTATAATAATGATGTAGTTAAAATTAAAAAATACGTATGGTTGTTTCCATATTATTAAAATGTAAACTAATTAAATTCTTTTTTTATGATCAAGGTGTTATCGAAGTTTTTTTATATCAACCAACAGATACTTAGAATAGATTATATACAACGAGAGGCAAAAGAGCTGTAAATCAAACATAAATATTATTAATAAAAAAATATATATATATTATATATTATTAAATACTAAAAGAAATGTTGATGGGTAATATTAAGTAATATTAAGTATATTAATAATTTGTTAATCATTAAAAATAAGCTAATATTAAATATTAAAAAACAATACTAATCAAAGATAAGCAAGGTACAAAGAGGTAATTCACATCACTTCCAAGTAACAAACCAATTAGGATAAATTGGTACATTGTGGCGCACGCCAGTCATATTAACAATAAAGAACAACAATTACAAAAAAAAATTGAAATCACTTTATAAGAAAAAATAAATATAATAAATGTATATTTTGATTTTATTAAATATGTAAAAATAATGTTTACTAACGTAAAACATATTTAACTAATAACTATTATGTATTACAACCAAGTACGCTCATTTCCGCTGTTATTTTTTGATTTAAATAATTATAGACATGTTAAGATCAATGTAAAAGATCTAAAGGAAAAAAAAAATGTAATCCCATTATGAGAATCAAGAAAGAATAAGTACACATATGTAAAACAAGAAATGGGGGCCATGAATCGCTTAGATTTCAAAAGTTCAGAATTTAATTTAATTTTATAGAATAACCAAATCAAAATTTAATGTAAAGCAACATTCACTTCTACTCCAGGAATAACAAATACGAACGGGTGAACTTAACGAAAGTTAAACTTTTTTCAAAGTCCAACTTTCAAATGCAATTTACCTTCTTTAAAAACTTTCAACTTTTTTTTTTTATAATTGTCTCAATTAATTAAGTCTTCGTTGTTTATTTGTCCTCCTTCACTTTGACCACTGGTCTGGGTTGTGAGGGCACAACTAAAAAAAGACTGGAGTGGATGTAATGTTATGCTCACATAACATAATATTATAACTGTATAATTATTTATTATTTATATCATTACAAAAATGTAACTAAAAGATTTAAATATGGTCGAGTACTTGGTATTTTATAAAAGGTAAATAATTTAATAAATCTAACGGATCGTTCGCTATTCGAGAGGGATATAAGCTTATCTACAGGCAAAATAATTTAAATATATGTCAAATATAATAAAACTGCATGCCATCTGCTGCGGCCCTTTGAGGATACACCCGCCTCAGTCATAGTATTGTACAATGTCTTATTTTCACAATTCGATTATTAATTATTTTATATCGACATTGACGCGATNTATTTTGCAAAAGGTAAATAATTTAATAAATCTAACGGATCGTTCGCTATTCGAGAGGGATAAAAGCTTATCTACAAGCAAAATAATTTAAATATGTGTCAAATATAATTGAACTGCATGCATCTGCTGCGGCCCTTTGAGGACACTGCCGCCTCAGTCATACTATTGTATATTGTCTTATTTTCACAATTCGATTAATAATTATTTTATATCGACATTGACGCGATTACTATCTGTTCCGTCTTTTTAAGCATACAAATTCCAGTGGTTTTCTATCATTCGAGAAGAATCAATATCCAATCCATTACCTTCATTTGGAACATTTAAACACATAAAATTTAACGGTTTTTTCTAATTGAAAATGAAGCGTCTTGATCCCTCAAGAAACCCCAAGACGAACACTGTCGAGAATCCTGCACACAGCAACAACTACGCTCCACCAACTTCTTTCGCGGATCTCTCTCGAATAGCTAGCTCCGACTTTTAGCAGCTATAATCACTCGAGTTCGATTTATTTATTTATTCACTTTGTAATTCATCCTTTATTTTCCTACTTTAAAAATTAGCATTTTTTATCTGAGTGCACACAGGTGTTAAGTGTTAATTAATTAAATTAGTTTATCTTAATTAAATTGTGATTGCCGTCCAACGACTCCAGGTTCACGTGAGGTTATCCATAAGTATACACCCTAGCGTTCCAACACCGTGGGCAGGTAATATAATTATATTTTTCTTTGGTTATTGATTTCGTCACCATTCTCGGATTCACGACTCCGAACCCCTTTCAAATACAGGAAGGAAGGTAGTCATATAACTAGTAGGCTGAACTTTTATTATGATTAAAGATAAATCATTCTTTGTAGTACCAAAACCTAGATCGATTATTTCACACTATATAGGCACATTTTTATACCTACTCCTCTATATTTTATTCTTTGTAGGTATTTCTACGTAATTATCCTATAATTTCAAATATATTTGTCTTCTATTACTATACTTAGTGTCCTAAGTCTACTACTATCCCCCTAATCTCTACTATCTTTATATTTTCCCCCCATTAAAATTTCTTTTAACTCCCCTTATTTGTCCCCCTTTTTATTTTTCCTATTTTTTGTATTACTACATTTATTTATAATACATGCATATATTAAATACAAAATAAATTATGGTGTTCATGATCAGTTTCAATTTAATCTTCAAATACTTTTCGAGGAAGTCTCTTATGAAGCCATTCAGGCTATGACAATTTGTCCAGGTAGCAGTTTTCTTCTTGGTCTTCTTTAACCTCATCTAATGTTTGATCGATTCCACCATATCGATAAAAATGTGTAATCTGCTTACCATTTATGATATGTTTTATGAATGCATGTTTAGCATCCTTTTCTTTATTAGACCGTTAGTATATAAACACACTTTCTGTTAAATTGGACTATCGTTTAACCGTTCTATTTCTGATGCTAAAATTTGTATGATTAAACTAAATTGATTAGGACTTTGATCATCTTGATCAGACAACCCCTCAATCCGTTTTTAATTTTATTTGAATGAACAGAAGTGATATTTTTCAATAGGCTTCGAGTCTTCTAAATTTTCAATATTTTCAGTTGCATTGTTAGTGATTTCTTCTTTTACATTGTTCAAAACGGTCTCCTTATTACTTTCAGTAAACATTTTTGAACAGTTTGGCATCACGATTTTTTGTTATATCATCACTTTGATCTTCTTTTTCATATTTATTATTAAAAAACGTTTTAGTTTGAATTGGACTATCATCTAATTTTTCTAACTTTGCTGCGTAAATGGTTTGATTAAACTGGATTTATTGCTTTTTTGATCATCTTGATAAGACACCCCTCAAATAGATCTTTTATACAGAGACAATCTTATAATTATGATTGTCTTTATGTATATTCGTTTCCATAGATAATAGTATTATCATACTATTTACCGATCTTGGTTTGAAATTAAATATTTTATAAGTATTACTTATGGTCACCATACATAAAAAATATACAAGTAGTTTTTATATTAATGAAATATAATGTGTAGTGTCGTCGTTATCGTGCACACATACAGGTATTAAATTCATGGAAACACTTCTGTTGAATCAAATGAAATGAAAGCCCTTATGAAAGTGGTTGTTTTCAGTTTTAATACCAAATCACTTACCAGTTTTATGATATTATCTAAATTTTAAATAAGTTTTATATATAATAATACAATTTAAAAAAAAAATCTGGTATGATGTACCAATTTATTAATTATTCTGCTCGCCCTGGCGGACTTTTCCGCCTTCCCCCCCCCGGCGCAGTCTTTAGACATTTACTCATGTATTTGAGTATTGATTTGCTTTATATATTTTTTTATGTAGGTACTAACTGTTCAAGTTGTACTTCTGAATGGTTATTTTCAACCCTACGTAGTATAAACACATATTTTAAATCAACAATATCTAAACAGAGATTAAACCTTGCAATATTAAATATGAAAACTGAAATAACAATGTATGCTCTACTTTTGTTCCACTATCCGCTGTTATCTGATTAGTCGATTAGAATTTGCCGACTATTTTATTTTTGTTCTTGGTTACCATTATGTTATTTGCTGCCGTCTAATATAATCATAATTATGTCATGCGTCTAAAACTCGCTATGTTCAACAAAAAAACCCTTAGATTTCTTGTGAAAAATCACGTTGGATGAATAACAGGAAAAACAAACCAATTTCGATTTATATACCTTAAGCTTAATATACAAGTATATAAAAACGTGTGACTTATAGATTTGGATACGGCCGTGGTTCTTGGTATTTAGTGAAACAATTGTTGATATAATAAATACAAGGGGCATTCGTTATTCGAGAGAATAAAAAAGGGGTTTCATGATCAACGGATCACTATCATTGTCTCCAATGCGTAAATCTCTTAAATAAAAAAATATCGATTTTTTCTTGATGAATCGACGACTCGCTCGTGCGAGAAATCTTCTGAACGATCACTTAGTCGATAGCCCTGCATAGAACACATTCAGTCACTACTCATTACTACTCACTTTGAATATCTCTCGAATAACTAGTTCCGACTTTTAGCAGCTATAATTACTTGTGTTCAGTTTATTTTATGTATTTATTTTAATTATTCAACCTTTTTTTCTATCCTAATTTAAACATAAGTATTTATTATCTGAGTGTACGCAATTTCTAAGTGTTCGGATTAATTTAAATTATTTTGATTGAGTTGCCACTGCCGTCCTATAATTCCAGGATCACGTGAGGACACCTACGATCGATAAACCTAGCGTTCTAACACCATGGGCAGGTAAAACAATTATAATCTTTTTTTATTGGTATCGTCATTATTCTCAGACTCACGACTCCGTAGCTCTCCGAATAGCAGAAGAAAAGTACGGAAAGCGGGTGATAACAATGATAGTAATAATCAGGCAATGGCAGCCTTTTGCACAAAAACAATATAATATAATAGATAATAATTAAATAACCAACAATAATAATTTTAATAATTAGGTATAACACACAGATTATGATTTGCACAATCATTTTGGAAAAAACGATATGGTGTAGCCAAGACGTGAACCGGTTTACGCGACTTTGGCACGCGCCGTGACCCGAGCAATAACACGAGTACGAACAATTTATTTTTATTTAGGTACTATTTTACAATATTTCCTAAGAATGTATATTTTTCAAAATTAATTGTCTTATTGCTTCTATATTGTATTGAAACGTGGTTCTTATATAGTCGTTATCGAGTTCCGTTTCATAAAATGATTGACGGTTACTTGGACGATGCACGTAGCCAGGGCAACTAAACCGATGAACCTAAACGCCATCACGCTGCCCAGATAACTAAACGTGTAACCGGCTATCGTCGAGCCCAGTGAACTGCCTGTGGGACAGAAAGAAAATCCGATATGTTTCTACAACGCAAAATACTTACATGCGAATAATACAGTATTATGGATTATATCGAATCAAGTTCCAAATCACTTTAAGACGTTTGCCTTTAAACAGGGGGTTTTTAATATAAATAGTGCGCAATGACCACGGATTCGATATGACGATCGATACAGTTTCAATGCCTTATTTTTCTTCGTCTTCCTTTCTCTCTTCGCCTTTAACCAACGGACCAATATCTTCAGATGGCGCAGTTCAAGAGGATCTTCCTGTTTCGGTTGATTTAAAACTGCAGATCTATTCCATCAGTGTGTAATATATCTTATTTTTTCCTATTTCACCTACCAATTAAATCTCAAATACCGTATCCGTTCATATAATCTAACATTGTTGAAATACTACTACTGCAGCTCAAAAATGGATTTGGTGGGACTGGATTCGATATTATTTCCAATAAACATAAAACATTATAAAATACAGTCTCCCACGAATATATACTCGTTGAAATATCTCCGGAGATAATAAAGATAATCAAATTGTTTTTTTCAGAAAAATAAACTTTATAAAATGGCTATCTTCAAATTTTTCAAAAATTATTTTTTTAATTTTTTATTATCAAACCATAAAAAATGAATTGCAATATAAATATTTTGTAATCCCTATGAGTAATATTAAAAAAAAAAACAAAACAAAATTTGATTATCTTTATTATCTCTGGAGATATTTCAATTGGTGTATCTTCGTGAAACATCCTGTGTATAATGATACGGACCGAATCCATGGAACGCCATAGAAAATAACCCTTGGACAGTGCCTTCAGTGCCGTTCGGGGCAATTTTTGCGGAATATGAAATACCGGCCATATAGCTTAGCCCAAACGTGATGCCGTTCATTAGTTCCACCGGCAGTACCCATAACGGGTCTCGAATGACTGAGTATAGGAGAAACCTCAATGCGTACATAGCAAACGATATCGAAAACGCGGTCATGTGGCCCGTCCTATTGATAACGTGTCCTATACATTATAAATAATAAATTATAATATAAGAAATATTATATTATATTGTAGTTTTTGCAGCAGTGTATTTCAACTTGACTGTATTGGTAATGCGGTATAACGAAACTGAAACTCACCTGATAAATAGAAAAACGGAACTTCTCCTAGCAAACATTCGATCGTGAGAGAAAATCCTTGGATCGAATGTAAAATCGACTTGCGTTCTGGATGATAAATCGTTCCCAAATCATCGACATACCTGTTAATATCAAATTTGTGTTACGTTTTACACGATGTTGTTTAAAAATGCATGATCCAGTGATTCAGTATTGAATCTTTTTATTGTTTCTATTGTTGATAATAGTAATAATAACCTTAACTTTTGGTAATTTGTATAGGCTTTCGTAAGGTTTTGACGCGAACATTTATCCGCCTATTCACCGATACGTGTTACTTGTTTGAGTAAACAGTATTCAGACACGAGAGATATTATCAGTAACATTAATAACATTAATTGTTTGATTGGTTTTAAGTTCGGAGAGCTCACGGTTAAGTATTTATTTATGAGTAGGTATATTTTATTGTTATCATGATGTTGATGGTCCGTATTACGGTTTCGGAAGATAAGGTCTGACGACACTCACCCGACTGCCTATAAAATGCTTGTTGAGACAAATTTAATCATAATGTTATTCGTTATACGCACTGCAAGATATAACTTATTAGATGTTATATTGTAATCATACAGATTTCAATTTAAATCATATTTCTGGTGAGATTTTGTTTATCAATTTATTATTCGTATTACCATTGATTATAAATACTTACTAGTATTTAAATATTAGTAAATATTAATATTTATAATCAATGATATTATTAAGTCATAACCTTAAATACGTATAGCCTGCAACCATTTTAAGTGGAATTTGAACTAAAACTGCCACAAAAACCGGAAAACGAATAAAAACTATAGTCATTGGACCGTTTCTTCCAAAACCGTGCTCTGTACAGTGAACGTAAATAAATAAATAGATCGGTGCCGATCACTTTATATTCGATCAAAGCGTATGGCCATAATATTTATTATTTAACCCATTAAGTCCGAAGTTTATAATTTTTTTAATCAAATTTTTTTTTCGATTCGTATTACGTGTGCGATTATAGCAATAAGTAGGCGCAATCTGGATGAGTCGTTTATCGGTCGTGGCGTCATACTCGTTCAAGTGAGTCGGCACAATAATTATTATGATATATTGTTATCAGTTTTGTGCGGTCTTTGCTGGTAAACACGCGTATTTTTTATTGTAATACAATATTATGCTCACCAGATGAAATAATACCAAATGTACGCCGTGAAAATGCCGCCGGCCATCGCCCACACGAGAAACATGCCCATCTTGGCGTTCATCACCTTTTTTACGTCTCCAAAAATATTTCTGGTTGGTGCATCGCTCTCGGGTACCTATATAGTTGCCAACGATTAACGAAACCGATAGGTATAATAAAGAAAATATTATCATCTACACGATATTCAGACCCGAAATTCCAAAAATAAATTTCAGTTCGGTACTCTTGAAATAAAAATAATAATATTATTGTTTATAGAAACAACAAAAAAGAGCCATTTTTGAATTTGTATTTATCCGGGTATTCGAGCGATTATAGACGAAAATCGATATTCGTTTATCTTTTATCTGGAAACGTCTTCTATTTTACTATTGAAAGGTTACGATTACGATTACCATAGATTTCCCACTTCTATAGTAAGGTGTGTATACCTTTAATCTGCACGCAACAGCGAAATCCAACATAAGTGATGTCATCGAGAGCAAATATCCCGGCAGGTAGTCCTTGTGTTCTTTCGTTCTACTGTACCAATCGATCATGGTTCCCGCAACGAGTGATGTTAAACCCCAGCCGACGGCTCCCCATAGCCGCTGCGCGCCAAACAATACGACATCTCCGTCTAGGGGGAAATAGCGAAAACAAGTGAGTTTTGTTCTTTCTCAAACGAACTTTGGGCATATAATAATCATAACAAAACGAATAGTTTTTTTTTTTCTTTACCGACGATTGTCATGGTGATGGTCTCCTGGAGCACCTCTGCCATCATGAACAGCACCATCCGGAGTGTGATCACCATGTCAAACAGCCAAAACACCCCGGTATTGAGAACTTCACCATCCGGGATTTCGCCCGTCAACGACGTGGCCCCCGGTATCAGATACATGCCGCCCGTCAGGAACGCATTGAGCAGTAATGAGCCCAGAAATATCGTCTTCCGACATTTGTATTTGTCGGTGACGAACCCGGTCAACGGTTTGACCACCACGTTCAACAGCAACAGGAACGTGAATATGTCACCAACAATGAGAGGCGAGTACCCTCGCTGTTTGGCTATCGTCGACAAGAACGGAATGATCGGAGAGTTTCCTGGAAAATCAGAGTGGGGGGGAGGGCATAAAAATAATACAAAATGTTAACTTAATGCACGGTGCGGAAAAAAGTTTTGGTGAAGTCAGTGCAGGAAAAACTCACCGGCGTCAAAAAGAAAATAATGCGTCTTTAAGGGCAAATATTTTTTGTTTATGTTTAGAAAACCCATAGTTTCGAACACGTCGAATTTTAGCCGCCGAACAGTTAAAAAATTAGTTCACTATATAAGGTTTTTGTGGTTAAACAAACCAGCAGCGGTTTGTTTATTCGCGTTATTCGTGTACAACAGGAGATGAGTGACTATACTTGTGATGAAAAACTCAAGTGTGTATATGTATAGACCGCACCGCGAAACAATTATCGACAACGCGAATTAAATAATATCCTCTAATCTATATTATATTGTAATATTATTGTTACTTATAAACTAATAATTTACCGACGGTAATCTACATCCTACAGCAGTTGTGAATGGCATATACCTATAAATATAGTCAGTGGCGTGGCGAGCTAAAATTTCGTAAAGGTACCCACCCATTTGTAGGGCTAAGCAATTGCATAAGGGAAACGTTCACTATGCCACTGAATATAATACGGGTTCGATCAAGAAATTACAAGGAACTTTAAGTTATAAATATATCATCGACCGAACAGAAAATACCCATCACAGTAAAACCGACGAAGAATCTATAAAAAAAAAAACTAAACTAAAAAAAAATCGAGCATTATTCAAATAAATATGTTATTCCTTCTTAGGTAATATGAAAACTATCAATGACACGTTACTATGTTTTCACATGATTTCGACTTCTAGAATCAGTTATACAAATCAAAAAGGGTTTTTACGTGTTTGATATAATGACTATAAGTTCACCATGGTTTGGATAAAATCTATGGATTGAAGAGATCTACAATGTTTTCATACACCATTTGAACATATTTTAATATGGTTCCTATATTTCATACTTCAGGTTTTTTTCGATTTTCAGCACCCCGGGATGTACGCATTTTTACATGTTTTGTATTGTTTTTAATATGAAACATAATATTATACATTTATTTCTATATTTATATAAATGTGGCACTGAAAGTTTGAAGATGTGGTGTAAATACATATAAAAAATATTTCTTTGCATTGGAAAAAGTATTTTTCATCGAATAACCTTGGAAGAATTAAAATGATACTTATCAATATAAGTATCGTTGTGGCGTTTTATAAACACACAACCGTTAATGCGAGTAGCAATATCATTTATTATAGTTTTTTTTTTATTGGTTTAAATTATTATCGAGATTACACGGATTAATAACAGAAACACTAGTAAATAAAAATCGTACTTATTACAATGGACGTCTAAATATCGTAGACGATAACTTCACAACAGACAAAAGCAGGGACCTACTTAATATTTATATAATATATGTGTATGGTGTAGGTACAAAAAAAAAAGAAAATTGATTATATAAGAAGTTACCTATCTTTTACACAATCATTTTTACTATTCAAGTACAGAACACTAATACTAATGCACGTGATTTGCACGATCTGAACGTAAATATAATATTATATATATATATATAAAAGTTCAATTCGAATATTATTATGAACGTTTCTGTTTCCGGTAGATTTGGATTATTTAACGAGAAAAATGTATAGTTTTACTAATGATTTTTTTCAACAAGGCAAAATTTGACATTGATATTCAATAATAATTTATTTATCAAATTTATTACGTTATAATATATTATACTCAAAAGGGCATTTGTTTAAAGTATTCCTGTAGTTTAGCTACACATTTTTATCCCGTTTAATTGTCATGCTTATTTTAGATTCGAGCCATTGGTTTTAAAATGATGTTTATTTATTATTAATTTTATTATTTTTTTGTCTGTGAACACATTTGTTAAAAAGCGAAGAAAAACATGAGAAAAAAACTTAGGAAAAATAATAAAATAGGTACAATATTAATAAAATATTAATAAGGGGACGTTATACTTGCATCTTCTGTCTTAGTCCAATTACCGGGTAACATACATAAACAATGCTTATGCAGAATAAGTAAAACTAGCTTAATTTTGATTTTAGAATAAAAGTACTTATTATAGAATATATAGAAAATAATATTTTGGAGGGAATGTCATCGGTGTTTTTTTGAATTATAAACTATTAAAAAAGTTACAATTATTTAAAAAGAAAGTAAAAAAAATAAAGATTTTTGTATCTTTTACATCGAGCTGTATATTTTGAATAACAGAAAAACCCCATGATATTCCCTCCAAAATTATTGTTTTCTTTAAATTTCATAATAAGTACATTTACTAAAAATCAAAATTAAGCTCCTTTTTCCTATTTTACATAAGCAGTGTTTTTGGATGTTACCCGGAAGTTGGACTGAGACAGTAGATGCGGGTATAACGTCCTCTTAAAGAAAATATATAATGCATATTATGTAATTATTTTACCATAATATGGCATATATATATATATTATTGTATGATATACACAGTGTTGACAAAGCAACACTAAACACTCTTAACCAAACTCCTCTCAGGATCGTTTTTCTTTAGTAATGGTTATACGCTACGTTCAGATATATATTGAATTTCTCCTCTATATTTCCAACTTCTCAGCTACAACAGTGACCCACCCATTGTGCGAAGCATATCCGTATTTTATTTTAATATTAAATTATGTTGTTGTTTACCACGCGTATACGTGTTATTATGTGACAATGACTAGGCGACACTGTTAGAATAATCATTTATAGGTTTTGGTTTGCTGCGCGAAGGGAAAACAAGATTTGTATAAATTAACATTGATTATATTATACGAGTACATGCATGTATATGTAACAATAATCAATGATATTAATTATTAAATAATTGTGTGTTAAATAATTAACGATGACAGCAGCGGGAAAGTATTGTGAAAACAGATCCTCTACTACGGTCGGTTTAAACTGAAAAAAAGAGCTGATACTTCTGATGGGTATGCCACTGTTGTGAGTGAGAAGTTGGAAAGGTAGGATACATAAAGTTATTTTATTTATATTGAAAAAAAGAACTGATACTGCTGATGGATGTGCTACTATTGAAGATGAGAAATATGGAAGGTAAGATACATAAAGTTATTTAATTTATAATCCGTAAGCATAAAAAACGATTTTGAGTGAAGTTTGGTTATACATGTTTTGAAAGACCGTAATATTTACGATTTTCATCAAAATTTGATTTTAAAACCATTAAAAAAAAAAATTATTTCATTTTACTTCTTTTTTTTTTCTGACAACTAAGTCATCTTGTAATGAACTTCTTCTTAAATTTTCAAGCATTTCTGTTTGGTCAAAAAATTATATTCACATATTCTACGAATATTTTTAACTAAATTTAAATAGGATGTATGAAGTGTAGCACTTTTATCTGAGAAGAAATTTAATGTAGTTAGTGCGTTTGGTAAATTTTTATTTGGTAGACACTCTATGGATAAAATTGTTAAACTAAACAGAAATGCTTGACAATTTATCAAAAGATTCATTATAATATAATGAATCTTTAAGACTAAATATTATTAAGTCGTACATATATGAGTAGTTATTAAAAAAATTTAAATATTACGGCCTTTTAAAACATACATAACCGAACTTCGCTCCGAATCGTTTTTCGTTAGCAATGATTAATCTTTGCTTACAAATATGCATTGAATTTCCCTCTATATCCAGCCTTCTCAACTTTTCATCTACAACAGGAGTCTATCCATCTTCCAAAATATGTTCGTCTTTTTTTAATTGTAATTCAGTTTAACCATACAAGCCATACATTTTTATCGAATACTATTATATTATTCGGCCTTTCTAGGAGTTATTTTTCTAAACCATTATATCGGTTTTTAAGCTATTTTAAATTTGTTTAGTTTACATATAGTTTTATTTAGATAGAATTAATTGTTTTGGTCTAATGAAAATTTAACATAATGTTCATCACAAATAATAATAATTTAATATGTTTGAATTAAAAATGTTCAGTTTATTTTCGGTCCACTGATTAGTTTTTTTCCGGACGTCTATACACGTTAACACACACAGCAACGGAATAATTGACATACTATAAACTAAACAAATACATAACATAAAATTTATAGCAATAACATTTAAAATTTTTATTTTCAGATTCAAATTTCTCCACAGAATAGCAATGCCACTAAAACGATTGGTACTTTCGAAGGGTGCAATACTACTTTTTAAATTGGTGTATCGCGTGTTGTGTGATGTAGACCGAGGCAGCAAATGTCCGTTGTCAATTCCATCAAGTGTAACCTATATGACTCTCGTTGTCCCCGATTTTTTATCTACTATTTTTATCTATTTTTATCGTTTAAATCAATCCGTTTATTTACTTTTTAGTTGGTTTTTTGACTTTCAATATAGTATGCCAGTGTATGTGAACATCTAAAAAATGTGTATTAATTTATATGATGTAATTTTCTTTATATAGGGACCTAACTTATTATAATATAGTTTGGCCACTGGTCATTAATCCTGGCGTCCCGATAAAATTTCTTAAGATACCGTTTCTTAATAGTTTTAAACGTTTGTATAGTTATGTCCCGGGATTTAAAATATTTGTCTCATAATTCGTAGATACATCTAATCGGTAGTAGGTTTTATTTTAAATAAAAACTAACAAAAACGCAAAAACGTATAATGACAACCGTTTGGACTGACTAACGTTTGAAAACAAAATGATATATAAACTATAGAGTGTTGTCTGATAACAAAAATATATGGCTTGAGTTGTATGGAATTTTAAAATAAACCAAAAGATGTTTTCTATACAAATAAAACACAGACAAGAATTAAAGAATTCAATACTAAAATTGGGCGAGCGGGAGTGGATGAATTTTATTTCAGCTCATTGGTTTAAAACGCTATATTATTTTGTAAATCCGGCAATACCCTTTTCCTTAATGAGTATCAGGCAGTGGATTAGTGGAAAAGCATTATCACTTAAAGGCAAAAACTAATTTTAAACTTATCAAATTTGGACAAATTTGAAAAATCGTATTTGACGTTTTTCACTGCTGGATTAATTTTTTCCTTTAAATTTATAATATTTTATTTTGTTTTATATTGCATATTGTTATGAATTAATGGTCAACATTTAATATTTCAATTTTTTTTTTTAAAGACACGAGTTTATTTGAATTATATCTTTGGATTCGTCTAATAATTTTCTATGTGTTCGTATTATAATCTGAATTAAGCCAGTTATTATTTATTTTTAAAATGATAAGCCGAGTACATGCATCTATAGCAGAAAAAAGTTTTTAATACAAATGTAACGATATTTATTTTTATCAGGATAAAATGGG